CTTGGGTTTGTGTTGTTGCTTGCGCCACTGAAGCCATCTCTTCAAATTGCTGCCAGTAAATGGATCTAGGGTACGAGTCATAAGAATTTGAATAAAAACGCCATATATTCCTCATTTGCATTGAAATAACTGTAAAAAGCATCAGATGGACTGGGTAAAAAAGGATTTTGTCCTGCCATTGCACATGCCAAACTGTACTAGCTGTCAAAGTTATTTTCTCGCTGTAATATTATTTTATCCACACAAGTCTGTTGGGTGAGTCAAAATACAAACAACGAGCAACAATGTAAAGCGATACTACACAACAAAACATCTAAGAAGTGATTGGCCATTTTTATACTGGAGGACGCATTATCTGTCCAGAAGAATAATGCGTCCTTGCTGTTTTTATTTTAAAGATGCATTATCCGTCTGGACAAACTTGGGCAACCATTTGTAGTCCGTCTGGTTATGCGTCTCTAGTGTAAACATGGGCACAAGATGTATTATGCGTCTAGATAAACTATACTTTGAAATTCATCTTGAACAACGAACTAGGAGAGATAGTTCTTCTAGATGCATAATACGTCTTGTGCCCATCTTTATACTAGAGGCGCATAACAAGATGAACTACAAATGTTTGCCCAAGTTAGTCCAGATGGATAATGCGTCTTTAGTATAAAAACGGCCATTTATTATCCAGCTGCTGTAGTCACTAAATTTATCAATGAAAGAGGGAGAGTGTCTGGAGGGAGAGTGTCTGGAGGGAGAGTGTCTGGAGGGAGAGTGTCTGGAGGGAGAGTGTCTGGAGTGTGACAGTTTTGAGTACATGCAGCACATGTACGGCAAACAGGTTTTCTACTGTACAAATAACTGTACAATATTGTTGTATATTTGTACTGTTATTTGGACGGTATTTGCTGCAGTTGGATAATAGTTATAAAAACAAAATTGGCTCNGAGGGAGAGTGTCTGGAGGGAGAGTGTCTGGAGGGAGAGTGTCTGGAGGGAGAGTGTCTGGAGTGTGACAGTTTTGAGTACATGCAGCACATGTACGGCAAACAGGTTTTCTACTGTACAAATAA